GCCAAACCCCATGCTCCCCCTGCATCTGTACTCGCCGAGAGGCGGGCATTGAATCTGGCATGGCCGTGAGTTTAAGCAGTGCCCACGCTCTTGCTGGCTGCCTTCATTGTTGGCGTCAAGTCCCCTAGATGCACCGGCTCGGCCGGCACCGACCTTGCGTTTCCCACGGCGCTCCAGACCGAGGAAGGGCTTTGTGGGAAGCCACGCTGTGTCAACGCGAGGTGACCGGCCAGAGCTTGATCTGAAAGTTCCTGTGTCTCCCTCAAGGACACCAGGCAAGGCTCGGTGTCCTTTCAGTATTCCCTCCAGCACCATGATTCAAGGACGTACATCAGTTCTTTTTTGGCCTTCCTTATTCAATGTCCGAATTTCTGATGTGTGTGGGCTGATTGAAAATGCCACTGTTCGGGTCAGGTGCACCTCAGTCCTCAAAGCACCTGAGTCCCTGCTTCTCGACGCTTTAAAGAGTCTTGCACAAAAGTTAGGTGTGTCCCCCTCCCCCAAACCATTTTACTAGGAGCTAATCCAGGCACCATACCATGCCATAGTTCATTCATATTGAGCAGTATTGTACAATTGCTACCACATTTAGTTTCAAAGCACGTCCTTCCTTTCTTGAACTCCTTGCTATCAGCAAGCTTTTACCCCCACCCCCGAGGAACACTTATTATAATTACTGTTTCTATAGATTCTTCATTCCTGGGTTTCATAATGCCAAAAAACAGAAAAATGCTTTAAAATATTCGAAAAGGCTACCCACATGAAAAAATACACCAGAAATAAACCCCAATATGAAAAAAAAGGACAGAAAATGTTGAAAACCCAAGCAAGCCCAGTTGTCTCAGAGGGGAGGTCACATACAAGGCTTTAACCCTTCAAGTCAGGTTTGATGTTTTAATCTACCATAGTCATCCCTCCAACACTCTGCTTGGTACCCAGTTTATTCCTGTCCCTCCATTATGGGAGGCTTATTCCCTGTCTAGATCTCACAAATGTATCTCGGGCCTCCACTGTCATCCGTAGCCTTCTGCAAACCAGCATCTCGCCGTGGGAGCTCTGATCCTAGTCCCTCTCGGGCTCTGGATCGCACAGTTTGCGATCCTCGGGGCACAGATGTTGGTGTCGCACAGAAGATGGGTGCAGTGCAGTGCCTCCTGTGATCTCTCCACTGCTGCTTCCTTGCGCATGGGTTGTGGATCCAAGCGAGAGGATATCTTGGCACATCCTGCCTTTGCTCCGCTTGTGCTTCCATCTTGACTGTCTTTGCAGTGACCTTTGACTTCTTGAGGTCCGATGGTCTTGATGTCGTCCCACCGCTCCTCAGGCCTCAGGTCTTCTCTCATTAGTGTTCAGGGCATCGCGTCTGTTCTGGAGTGTTCTCAAATCCAGGCGGCAGAGACTCAAGAGCGTAGTTGGATCTGTGGGCTTGTTTTCTTTCAGCCTGACCTTCCACTGCCCCACCTTTGGGCCTGGCTGCCTTAGTCGGCTGCTGATAGTGGGCTTCCCCGTCGCCTCTTCCCCCAGACGTCGTCCATGGGACATCTCTGTTCCCTCTGGAGAAGTCCTCATGTATTGTTAAAAGTATATCTTCTAGGAGCAAGTCATTGGTCTTGCAAAATCCTGTCACCACCTCAAGCTTCACGTCTATCACCAAGGCCATATTTTCCAACTACTGTCCCTTCCTCTTTGTTTCTAACGCTTGCGTGCCAATCACCAGTACTGGTCCATGCATCCTGATTGTGTGCTCAATCAATTTCAGACTGAAGATGTTGGTAGACTTCTTCACTTTCTGCATTGCTGCTTTTAGTAGTTGATGCATAGTGTGTGAGTAACAGTTGTATTGACGGCGTTTCCTTGCATGGGGATAGATATTAGTATCCTACACAGACAGCACTGTACTTCAAGATAGATCTCGAAATATCCTTTTTGATGGTGAATGCAATTCCTTTTCTCTTGGCTCTTGCATTCCCAGCCTAGTAAGCCATCTGATGTTGTCATTCAAAAATGCCATTTCAGCTCCCTGAGTCCTCGAAGGTTGATGTTTATGCATTCTACGGTGCTATCAGCCTTGCCGCTTGCCAGGGGAGAATCTGGGGATGAACTGAAAGCAGCAGATCAGGCATTTGTACAATCAACTTCCCCACTTCAGAACCTTCCTGCTGACCGCCATGCTGTCCTGTCTCCCCGTGCGCAGTACCGTCGCCACTTTAATGTTAGTGACGTCAGCAGGGCGCTCCGGGTGTTGCTTGTGCTTCCTAGCTGAGGTGCACTCGGCACTCATGATGTCTGCGCCCAGTACTAATGACCGTGGCATGCCCGGCTTCACGTCGCTCACGCGCACCACCACCCTCGCCAAAGCCACTGTCCAGAACTGGTTTCCAGCTCATAGTGACCGCAGCTGGCAGAGTGGAGCTGTTCCTTGGGGTCCTCGAGACCCGACGTCTCTATTGTCCTGTACTGTGTCCTAGTGAGTTGTACTGGACCACACTGTCTTATAGTTTGAGACAGTAAATCATCATGGAAGCAGCCAGCCTCTTCTTTCTCCTGGGGAAATAACTGCTTCTGCTTTGAATTCTCCGCCATTCGTGGTCACCAGCCCAGACAGAGTTTCACCGTGGCCCCGACAGTGTTCCGTAACCTCTGATATGTGGTTTTACCTTATCCCCAGTTTAAAACGAATCAAATCACATTTTTTTCTTACTTGCCTCCTGGGTGTAATTTATTTCAATCATTTCGTCACAAAGATTTTGCCCATCACCTACTTACTATGTGTTCCTCCACCAAACTACAACACAAAGCAAGTCACCCAGGGGAGTCCAACCCCACAGCCCTGTGGGACAGGCAGGAACCTCCCCATGGGGCCAAGAGGCTGTCTGATCATCATGGAAGCAGACCGCCTGCCTCTACATCTTCCTCCTGCAGCACAGCTGTGGGTTTGAACCACTAACATTGTAGTTAGCAGCAGAGTGTTTGAGCTCCTGGGCCTGCACGCCCCAGGCTATTGACTGTGTGAAAACTGACAAGGTGTATACACTATTGGACAAAGAGCTTCAAAATAGTAAGATTCGGTTTGTGGCTTTGGTACAAAGGCATTACGTATTTTACTATTTTCCTTCTATAATAAAACCACGCAATTGTATCATGACCTCTGTCTCACCCTAAATAATGTGGTCTAGCTTATATTTTACATATTTATTCAGCTATACATCTGCATTGTTGCTAAGCTCTAGTGAGGCTGAGGTCAGAGCCCTGGTGACTGATGTTGTCCCAGAAAGTAGAATTCTGATGCATCAGTGATAGTTGATAATGCCAAGACAACTGCGCGAGGAATTAGAGGTTATAGCATAGCTTGGCAGGCAAAATGATTTGACTTCAGGCCTTCCCCAGATTACAAATGAGGTTTTTTTCCCTGAATCTGTTTTTAAATCCAAAGGCAGAGCACTTAGGAATGGTTCACATGTAACAGCAGTCAAATGTCTATCATGATCTGCAGTGTACCTTTCTATGCATAGAAAACACCAAAGAAAGACACGCTAAGACACCTTTGGCTAAATAGTACAGTAACAACAATCATGAAATGTGGTGATGCCTGCAACGAAGTAACACAACACCTGTTTGTGGTTACGAAGCAGTGTGGGCGCCTCAGATTTTTAATAGAATTGACTTGTGGGGGTTCTAAGCTCAGGTTGTAGGTGAGTCAGGCTGGCAGACTTCTGCAACTGCCAGTTAGAAAATTACATGGGATCCTGCGGGGCTTAGAACCAAACCCAGAGCCTGGGGAGCCAAACTCCATTCTCAGCTGCTCTGGGCGGGGCTCACAATCTGGAGCGCACTCTGAGTTCTTGATCCCTTTCTCCCCGCACCCCCATATCCCTGCAGCCCAGAAGTTGAAGTACACCCTGGAACCTTGTGACACGGAGTACCCCGCGTTTGTCTCGGAGCGCACCATCAAGGAGACCACCGGGAACATTGCGTGTGAAGACTGCTCCAAGTAAGCCCCCCCACCCTTCACCCCCCCGCACACACACACCCCACGGGCGAGTGGGACATGCAGTTGGCTTGCAGAGAGAGGGAAAGCATGGCTGCTCTGTTGTGTGAGAGCGTGTCCCGTCAGCTGGGAAGAAGCAGCGCTGGGTCTGTGAGGTCCTCCCAAGGGTGGCCAGCGTTCAGCTGCACAGAACACATGCGGGAATGGGGGAGCCTTCTCCGTCCAGGTTCTTACTGGTTGGAGAAGTCCCAGTGGATCTTTTCACACATGGATGGTTGATCATTTAAAAGCCGGCTCAAGGAATTCTTATATCACATCCTTAAAACTAATCCGGCCTTTGTCTTTTCCCAAATCTGGTGAAATGGTGTGGGTCTCCCAGTGTCTGCATGTCCATATTTCACCAATGACTAATGACGCCGATGCTACTTTAACAGGTTTATTGATTCCTTGGACTTCTGGCCTCTTTGTTCCCGTGAGGCTCCTGAATTGGGTGGTTGGGTCCAATTTTTTGGTTTGGATATTCCTTATGTTCTAGATTCTATTTGTTTATGAGTGCATGTGTCTTCCTAGTCATTGGGGGAGTATCTTCTACTTTTAGAGACGTCTTGTTGAGTAGAGTTTTCTGCACTCTTATTTTAATATAGTCTAATTTATCCCTCTTTTCTTTCATGACTTGGTGTCTTGGTTTTTTTCCCCTTTATATGAAACGATCATTTTATTGGGGGCTCTTAGAACTCTTTTTACAATCCATACACCGATTGCATCAGGCATGTTTGTACGTACGTTGCCATCATTCTTTTCTGGACAGTTACTTTCTATTGAGCCCTTGGTAACAGCTCCTCTTTTTTTCCCCTCCCTCCCCCACCGCCTCATGACGCCTTGATAGATTATAAATTATTATTGTTTTCATATCTCACACCAACCGCTGTCTCCCTTCCCCCATGTTTTCTGCTGTTATTCCCCCTGGAGAGGGGTGTATGGTTATGTGTCGGTCATTGTGATCGGTAGCCCCGTCTCCCATCTCCCCTCCTTCCCCCTCCCCTTCGGGTATCTCTATTCCCACTCCTGTTCCTGGATTCCGTGTGTTCTGAGCTCCCATCCCTTACCTATACCGGTGTACGTGCTCCGGTCTGGTCTGAATGGAGCAGCAGCACTGGGGTCATGAGACAGACATTCTCCGATAATGTCCTTCTGAGGGCTTTCAAGCACCGCCTTTCCTGCGCAGGACTCGAATCCCTCTGGAGTTGATGTGTGCGTGTCATCGCGTGGAGTTCTGATTTCATCCTTTCCTGTGTTGTTGGTATGTTAACCAAGCTCTCCATTTCCCACGAGTGGTTGGGATGCCCCCGTGCTGGGCTGAGCTCTGGTCTGCTTGCAGGTTTGTTTCTCACCCTGTGGCGTGTCCATGCCATACCTCTCTAAGGATCAGCACTTCAACGATGACTTGCTAGTTAGGAGAGCGAGTGCCCCCTCCCTTCTAATTTACATGGCTATTCTTGACTTTTTAATTTCCGATATTAAATTTGGCATACTTTGTTAAACCGGAATGAATTATATGATTTTGATTAAAAGCAATATGTTTGATATAGATGAATTTGAAGCCAACTGCTGTTTTAAATATTGGACCTCTTCATTCATAAACTGTGTAGCTCTATATACACCTTTTTCAATGCCTTTAATACAGTATAACAATTTTATTTATGAAAGGCTAAAAACATAGTATATACCTTTCTTGTCATCATAAGTGATACCTATTAAAGTTACATTTTCTAATTGGTAACTGCTATTAGTATATCAGTGATTTATGTACATTGAATGGATTGTACATAGCAAATTGCTAAATGATCTTTTGGATCGAATTGCTTGTGTATACATTATCTTGGACTTCTTGCATAGGCAATAATATCATTAGTGAAATTTTACTTTCTAATTGTCATTCTTAACTGTGAGTGTGTGTGTGTGTGTGTGCGCGCGCATGTTTACTGTTCTGGACTTCTGATACATTGTTGAATAGAAGTAGTGAGAATATCACTAGTTTTCCTCATTTTCTACTATCTGTGATATTTTGTATGAGATTGAATTATCTGTTTCATATGTTTACTGAAACTTATCTATAAAGTTATCGATGATTGATGGGATTTTGTGTATGTAGCTAGATTTACAACGACTAATTTCTTTAATGATTTGAATTACTCTTTCTTTTTGAAATGGCTTTAGCGATGATGTTTCTAGAAAGTTGCTCATTTCCATCTGTTTTCAAGTTTATTGGAGAGCATGTGTTAATTACATTCTATTTTGGTTTAAAACAACGGTTCTCAGCCTTCCTAATGCCAGGACCCTTTAATACAGTTCCTCATGTGGTGGTGTCCTCCAACCATAAAATTATATTCGTTGCTACTTCATCACTGTCATTTTGCTTCTGTTATGAATTGAGCGACCCCTGTGAAAGGATCGTTTGACCCCCCAAGGGGCCACGACCCACAGCTTGAGAACTGCTGGTTTAAAAGATGCTACTGTAGTTGTTCTTTGTTCCTGTTTAAATTCTTGGTGGTCCTCATGGATTCCCTGTCCCTCCCTCTCCCCTGGTCTCCTGTGCTCCCCTCCCCCTCCGTCTTCACACTGACAGAGATGTGTTTCTCCTTCTTGTCCTTTAAGAAGGCATCATTGTTTCCGTGGTCTAAGACTCTTTGTTGTACCTTTCTCATTCCGTTTTATTTGGTCAGCTTCTTGTCTGTATGATTACCCTGTGTCTGGGGGTGGGGGTGTCACACTCTTTTAAGAGCTAAGTTTTTGCATATGATGTTCTTGGTTTGTGCCTGCAGCTGCCTGTGTGCGCGCTCCAGTCCATCCCCGTACATCTCAGCTAAAGGGTTTCAGTGTTCACCTCTCCCGGTTTTCTGTTATCATCATGTTCTGCTCTGTGTTTTTGAAAACAGTGATACAGAATCTCCTAACTCTTATCTCTTCATTATTGATATCTAAGGCACCATTGCATTCTGCTTAAAATGTCCTTTTTGTTTGGTGGAGACGCTCTGTGTTTTCTGTGTCCCTGTGTGTGTTTAAACAAGTTGCATTCTGTAGTAGCTTGTCCGGGGTTCAGTATGTATCTACTGGGGCAAATCTTCCTATTTACTGTTGATGTCAAGCTACTTAACATGCCAGCTCCTCACCAGCATTGTGGTTGGTTGGTTGAACTTCTTCATGTCATGCAGTTCATTTTGCATTTTATATTTTGAAGATGCACTGCCATGTATCTTGTAGCCTGATCATACATGCAAACCTGTTCTCTGTGCCGGTGGAGCAGCCCTCTTTGTCCTTGGAATTGGCCCTGGGGCTCCCCTTGCTTTGTTTGCTGAGAGAACGGGAACCATGGCTCTGCTCTCTGCAGATGTGTTGCCACTTCTGAGTTGATTCTAGTTCACGGTGACGACTGCCGGAACTCAAATACCTGTTCCGATCCCTGCCTCACAGTCTGGTGGGTATGCTCCTAGGAGCGGAATTGCTCGGCCATGCGGTCGTTCTACGTTTCAAAGGGCTGTTTTTGTGTCCGTGGCGGCATCATGTTAAGATTACATCACATCTGCAAAGGGCTCCAATTTCCCCCCAGTCTCACCAGTGCACCTCCCCCGCGTCCAAAGGAACAGCCAAACTAGTGGTGGAGAAGTCCTACCTCCCACAGGCCTGATCTTTCTGAGCAATGCCTCTGCACTCCCTGGCCCTTCTTTGGAGAAAGTCTACTCAAGTCCCTTGCCCATTTTATAAATTGTTTGACTTTATGTTCTTGAATGGCTGGGATGATTCATAATTTTTAACACTTAAACCCATACACATACCGTTTCCACATAGTTATCACCTGAAAGTTGCCTTTTCAGTTTATTGATAGCTCTACTATGTTTTGAACCCAATTAAATAATTTATTAACGTTGTCAATTTGGCCCCCACTGCTTTTAGTGTAGAGTGATTTCAGGGTGCTTTCCGGAATGGTGGTTAAATTTTCTCCTTTGTCTAGAGGAACGGTCTCAACCTATAGATCAAGACCCCTTTGGGGGTCCAACGACCCTTTCACAGGGGTCGCCTGATTTATAACAATAGCAAAATGACAGTGATGAAGTAGCAATGAAAGTAATGTTATGGTTGGGGGGGGGTGTCACCGCCACAGGAGGAACTGTATGAAAGGGTGGCAGCGTGAGGAAGATTGAGAACCACTGGTCTAGAGCATCTTATTTAATGTGTACTCGGCATGGGTCACTGCACTCCGCAGTCTCTCAATGTTGTCCTGTGGGGAGAGTATCCCACTGGTATCCTACTGCCTTGTGCATCTTTGTAAGTAGCTTGACTTCTCCTCCTGATGGCTTTGTAGAAATACCGCATCGTTATTGTTCTGAAATTTCCTCAAGTGTGTCTTGAAATAGGTTTGTTTTTATGTGTGTATGTACTTTTCTCCTGATTCAGTCCTTGCGATGTGTATTCCAGTTAACTTCCTTTTGAGGTAGTCTTCTGCTTACAGATTCCATCAGATTTTTAGTATTGCCGACCTTTTCCTTTGAACCCCTGAAAGTGTTGTTTGCAAAGCTGTGCATAATGCCATGCAGCCTGTTACTCTGAAGCCCCTGTCCCTGACTGCAGCCCTCCTCAGACTGCTCGAGGGACTTCAATCTGTGTTTCCCGTGTGTTCACCATCTTTTGTGGTGGGTTGTTTGTGCATGTGTTTTGCCGGTTTTGACTGTGAACTGATCTGTAATATTGTCATTTCTGTTGTAAAGGAAAATATTTCGAGTTGCTGGTCACTCTGGATTGGGGATGGGCTTCTATCAGGCATCTGACTAGTACTGACTGCCTGAGAATAAGTGTCATCAGAGTTTTGTGTATTGAGGAGTTTCTGCACCATATAAACACCATAAATATCTTTCCCAAATAGTGTTTAGTTCAGGCTTTAAAGATGGCTCTCTCTGTCCAGAGCTTTCTGTCAGCAGCAGAGTATTAGTCTTTCATGCTTAGCTATG